CACACACACACACATACATATTTTTTATTACATTGACCTTTCACCTGGCTAACAATACAGAAGTTACAATGACAAGGCTCATGTGCACTCATGTTACCCTATCCAATAACATAAAGCTGACCTTTGGTCTGTACAAAGTAACTTCTCTTGGCTGTGTTTTAGTAGACTAGTATTTTGTAAAATACAGTCACATTTCAATTATTATAAAATTATATATGTTTTTAAATTATTGCTATTTTGAAATAAGTTCTTAGTTATTTTTCTTAAAACCTAAAACAGTAAATAAAGATGTATAACTAACAATTATCTCCTAGTTACAAACAGTAATTTTGCATGTGGAGGATATGAAACAATATAATTTTTTTTAGGTTCTATATATACATTTGAATAACTAAAAATCTTAAATTACTACATCAATACCATAGAATTCCACTATAATTTATAAAGCTTAGTAACCGAGTTGTATTTTAGTCTAAAAAAAATATGAAATTTCGAGCAGACTAAGGACACAACCTACCTTCTTGAAGAGAAATGGCATCCTAAGAATTTAAAATGGCCAAAAAAGCCAGGGGGGAGGGGGCATTCTGAGCTTCCAATTGATTATTCATGTCATATATAGAAGTGTATATAAGAGAGCATTTCCAAAAATGGAAAGAGGTGGGCAGGATGCCACTGTGCTTGATTTATTACATGATCAATGTCTTAGTAAACAGAAAAGATAAGACCTTCTTATTTTATATTCTAGTTTGTCAATATCAGTAATTTGAGTTTCTAATTCATATGAAACTATAGACGTAGTATTTTGACATCACAAACATCTAATTTGAACCAGTACTGCATTCAACATACCACGTGACACACAAAAATCGATGTTTATCTGTATTTTTTTAATATTTACTTTTAAAGTAAGAAATTGAGCAATGTATAGTACTAAAATCTGAATTATAGTCTACAGTTTGATACCAAACTTATTGACATAAATTCATGAAATAGTAGTTCATTAAAAATTTTGAATGAGAGTCAACAAACAAGATGACATGGCCTTTCACCCGTGACCCGTCTCAAAAGGGTTAACATAAAAGCGAATAATCTTTTGAGAAGATTTTTTCATCAGGTACAAATAATTTACCTAAACACAGTAATATATAACAAAGAAGTCACATTAATGGAGATTCCTTATAGCTTAATAAAGGTATTTTGTTGATGTTAGGTTCTTTATTTAAAATTATGTTTATACTTTTTAATAGAAATGATTAAAAACCCTATAACCCGACACTTTCGAAAGGTCATTCATTTCTATCAAGACCTCTTGAACCTACATGTTTTTCTAACATCATGAATATACTTTTTAATAGATATACTATAGTTTTATTGAGTTTCAATGTTTGTTAACATGAGATTTTTTTGTTATATCCACCAAATAATATATCATCAAATCAGATAAGTTTACTGTTTAGTAAAGATGACAGGTGACAGCAAAATATTTTGATGTCTCAAATCTTTATAAATTATTTTTTATATTTATTCTATCTAAGCAACATACATAAATAAGTTGGCTTACTCGATACCTAATTGCAATCATGATATGTTTTAAATGAAAATATTATTACTTTTTTATTCACAATAGTAAAACATTTTCATTATTTATTAATTTATTTGATTTACAGAAGATCAGTGTGGGATAACTACATATTTATAAAACAAACATAGTGGCAACTGCATGGTAGTAGTTGGTTGACATGAGCAATTCCTTCGCCAAGTAGAGTATGTCCAGATTTTTTTTTTGTCACAAAGTATGTTTTTAAGACATGTGCAAAAGGCAACCTCCAGAAGAGGCCTATCATATAAAAGCAAGTGTAATTTGAAAATTACTTTAAAAACCAAAACAAGGTAAATTAAAACATTAGATAAATAAAAATAAAATAAAAGATTAATACCACGTTGGAATAATGAATTAATTAGTTGAAGAAAAAAAAATGAACCTAGCACACACCATTTTGTTTTGTTTCTTGTACAGAAGGTGTGGAGGTGCAGGGTGTGTATATTAAATACCACTAATCACCCAGCTCTAAGCAATAAATGAAATTACACAAGTTCTATAATGTAGACCAGAATATAACAGACAAGGCAACAGTTTGTCAAAACAAGCATAAAATGAATGATGAAACAAATAATTGAAATATGACACTAAACTTGTCTTAACATTTAACAGTAAGAAGGATAGTTTCTAAACCATTTATCTTTCCATAACCTGGTGTTATTTTAGATAAGCAAAACTGTTTGGTGACTAACACACAATCCTTTTAAGGACTCTGTCAGCTGCACTAATATTAACTTTATTAACTGTTATTACGATGTAGTTTTACTAATGAACATTTCTGTGTACCCACATACACTAATAAAAGGTTTTATTGATTAATGAAGCATTACTTCTCCAAAACAAGACAAAATCACTTGATCAATATATATGAAATATGTTTAATTAATAATTCAGCAAACCTAAATGGTAATCAACAAATATGATAAAACATATACATGTTTACTAAGTCACAATATTACACATATACTCAATATGGATTATCAAATCTGAATATGAAGCTTAGTAAATTATTCTGTCTAGAGAAAACAATTATTTAAACTTTCCTTTATAACACAATATGTTTAAATCAGAATGTATCTTTGTATCCCTCTCTTCACTGATTCTTATATATCTGTCTTTCAAGTAACAAGAAAAGCAAAATTAGAAACAAATTCAATACTGTATTTCTTTTTTTTTAAATATATACAGAGTATATCAATTTGTAGTATTTCATCTCTGCAGCTTTCTATGTAATAAGGAGACCAAAGCTGTTTTTAGCAGCTTCATGTTACAAAATATTACAAGGTTAACATAACCTTATTACTGAAATTATAATGTCATATCTACAGATTGAATAACTCAATTAGCTCTTCTCATCAAATCCAAAGATATCAGATATTCCTTTTAATTACATCTCACAAAAGAAACGTGTTCCTTCCAAGTACATCAATTTAATACAATATTGAAAATCATTTCCCAAATTCTGCCCCACCCATTAAAATTGTTGAAGTCTTTCTAAGTTACAGAAATATTGTCACAGAAACAGTACTTTACAACATTTAGTATCATCAGCAAAGAACAAGAGATGATAATTTAGGAAATTTTCCCAAACTGAATCTTACTATAATGGATATAGCATCTATGTATATAACCAAAACTTCTGTGCCATCCACTCAATGACACCACAAACAAAAATCCATATAAAATTATTTTATTTTTATCATTTTGTTATTCAAGATTCAGAAAATTACAAAAATAAGTGGTATGAGCAACAACCATTTCTTTATAATAGAACACAATTTTAACTAAAAGTACTCTCCTCACAAAAAGAACACGACTTTCACTAGAGCTGTACGATGGTTTGATTATATCTTTATTGACATAATTTAAATGTAATATTGAGAAACTTATTTTTCCAGTAAATGGTGCAATGTTTAATGCGCAAAAACATTACAAGTTAATACTACGATTAGTAATTATTAGCACAAACAGCTGCCCATAGGGCAGTGTTTTTGTAAGTAAATATAATAAACATACATTCAAATTACTTCAAATGCTGATCATTCATAAAAAAAGTTATTGGAGGTAAATTTTTATATTTTCACCTGTTTAATGTCATAACATGCATCATTCACTATAATGTTTATATTATCAATCATCAGTTGCAGTATCCATTACGTAAGTTATGGATCAAATATAACACTTATATTACATCAAAATATATTCAGTTAACAAACTTATATTTTTAACTTGCATATGGTTTTATGAAAATGAAAAAATGTTGTTACACGATTAACAAGCTTAAGAGATTTACAGTGAGAAATTGGATGGAAAAAATTAAAGATATATAAATGTGTTAAGTTTAAGTAAAATGTTAAAATAATGATTGGGCCATTAAAGGATTCCAATGGAAATGATTTTGTTAAAGGCTATGAGATGGCTGAGCTTTAACAGTTTTCTTCTGTTTCTAAAGACAGGATATTACATTTAGAAATATTCTTCACCATAAACATTCTGTGGTAAATACATGTACTGAGATTTACCTGAATTACATAGACATTAATTTGTGATAAAAATAAAGTCAAAGACTAAAAACAGGTTAAGCATTAAAATCAGATATTTTTCCTGGGGTTCCAAAGGAGGTCAAGGATCAGATTTTCTTGACATTATCAGATGTTATCTGGATGATGGAAAGTGTGTGGACTTGATGTATTTTGATTACCATTGGATAAGATACCACATAGATTAGACAGAATTCATCAATAGTGGTTGGAAAAAACTAGTAAATTAGATTGTTCGATAAAAGAAAGCTAAAAGTTATTTATTTACATAAAAATAATAAACACAGATCTCAAAACATATTTCTGTGAGTTCCTATAGTTACATTCTTCCAATCAGTAATTTATAAACACGTTTTTACCTCCTAGTACATTTCCTAACCATTTTTCATTTTCATAAGAATCTAACTCAAATTATTAATAATTAAGCTTTTACAACTATTCAAAAACTTTATAAAGGTCAAAGCACAACACAGTTATTAGGAGCCTTCATCCAACTATGGTAATAAAATACAAATACCCCTTTCTAAAACCATAATGAGCAATAAGATATAAAGTTATGTACATACTGTGACTTTTTTCTATTGATTTCCTGGCTGTTTTGAAACTTCTGAATTTTCTAGTCTATATTTACTTTCACTAACCATCAATATTGGTTTTCAAAGTGTTTAAAATTTTCTCTTTGCTGAAAATACACAGAGAAGCAATTATGCTTTTCTGTCTTAAACCAATAAAATTTTCATTAAACTAAAGTAATATTACTCTAAATTTAATATTTTAAATAATAAGTTACACCTCTAATCACAAAGTTACCTACACCGTTCACAGTTGTATTACTTGTAATGTAACTTGCTAAGTCATAAGTTATAAAAATTAAAATATAACTATGAGCCAATTTTTGTTTAGTCTTTATTTTTTAAACTTAATTTTTAAATGAAGGCTTAACTTTCAGATTTCATGCTTCATTACTCAGTTACCGTACTAATAGTAATATTATAGTCTATAGTAATATAGTCTATAGTAATCAGTATAGTCTATACTCTATAGCGTTAATTATTACTATTAGGCTTAACATAGTAATACATTTATTTTAATTAAATGCTTCTCATTACACATGTATACGTGTTTAGATAAACTATGTTAATTATTGTGTGTAACACTGTATTTTTAAATAACTTACGTGTCAAAGATTGTTAATTTTCATAACTTCACTGTACGAGAAGCTTAGTAAATTTGCTTTAGCAAAATCGTATACATATTGTTCTATGCGAATGACGTAGGCAACTTATCTCGACCGAAAGGAAAGCACTATAAACTTTTATACAGAGCCTGCGCTACTTTGAGCAACGTGGCACTTTACCCAAAGTGCAATGAGCCCTCTTTCAACTTAAAGATACACCTCTCCCCATAAACCTTTTGTACAGAAACTCCTAAGTTAACGAATTGTACATAAGAAACAATGCATCTTTCTTTGCATTGACTTTTGTTAATGTAACCTGTGAAATGGAATAATGCTTTATTGTGTAAATCATAAGAATTAATAGATATCACTATAAAGATTTTTTTTTCGATCCCATGTACTTAAATCATTCCTTTGGCATAATAAAATTCCTACTCTTTAGAATCGTTTAATTTTATATAAATGTGCAAGTCAAAATATATTGTTACGTCTCCGTTTGTTAATTAACTTTCCGAAACATTAACGACACAAGTCTTTACTT